CAAAATGCCACACACAGATTAGAGAAAAAAGCCTATCTATACCTGAGGCTAAGACCCTTACCTCAAGAGGAACTAGGATGAATGAGTAGAACCCCCTCTGAATCTTAACCCTACCAGAAATTATTAAAGACAAAGCCAGATAGCTCACATCTGTACTCCTAGCTACTCAGGAGGCTGAAATCTGAGGATCCAGGTTTGATGGAAGGCCAAGGCAGGAAAGTTTGTAAACCTCTTATCTCCACCTAAAAATGAAATGGAGATCAAGTGGCAGAGTGCTAGCCTTAAGCAAACAGCTCAGGGACAGCACCCAGGCCCTGAGTTCAAGTCCCACAACTGACAAAAAAAAAAGACAAGATTCTTTATTTGGACTTTTTAGCAGAGGTTCTCCCAAACAAAGTACCCAGGTTTCTAACATCTGTTAGGAATTGCAATGACAAAATAAATAATAATAATAATGTTGGCTGTTGACAAATGGACATAAGAGCTTCTTAAGCCAATACTGCAAGAAGAGAGTCCCAGACTCACACACACAGGGTATCAGCAATAGGAAAAAATAGGTGCTCAACCTGCACATGTCCAGACAGGAAACCTTAGCCACTGTTCTTACAAGGAACCGACCTGAAGGATGCCCCTTTTACAAGGGAAGTCCTCCAAGATGGTGATTAAGGAGCTCACTGTCAAGGAAGTGAGTTCTGCAAAGATGCTCATGGGATTTGTCAGTTTGGTTGTTTACCTGTATAGACTTGTCCAGACAGAGTGAAGAGTCCCCCCACCCCCATCATTGGCCACCTATGTTCCCCTTCCCAGAGGCATATCTTTACTACTTCTTTTTTTTTTTTTTGGTCGGTCATGGGGCTTGAACTCTGGGTTTGGGTGCTGTCCCTGTGCTCTTCAGCTCAAGGCAAGTGCTCTACCACTTGAGCCACAGCGCCACTTCTGGTTTTCTAGTGGCTTACTGGAGCTAAGAGTCTCATGGACTTTCCTGCCTGGGCTGGCTTGAACTGCGATCCTCAGATCTCAGCCTCCTGAGTAGCTAGGATTACAGGTGTGAGCCACCGGCGCCCGACAATATCCCTTTTCTTAATGGTACACATTGTGATGGTCCTTTTGCCCCCCACTGTTGTATTCAAGAAGTGATGTAATAATAAACCAAATTAATTTTAGGTACTGATTCAAATTGGGAAATTTGAGTGTGTGTATGTGTGTGAGGGGGGGGGGGAGTTTAAACTCAGCTGGGGTGCTATTCCTGAGCTGTTTTGCTTAAAGCTAGTTCTTGCTCTACTACTTGAGCCACAGCTGGCTTCAAATTGTGATCCTCTCCTCAGCCTCCTGAGTAATTAAGATTACATGAGCAGCTGGGCACCAGTGGCTTAGGCCTGTAATCCTTCCTACTCAGGAGTTGGAGATCTGAGGATTGTGGTTCAAAGCCAGCCCTAGCAGAAAAGTCTGTGAGACAACTCCAATAAACTACTCAGAAAAAAGCCAGAAGTGGTTCTGTGGCTGAAGTGGTAGAGCACTAGCCTTGAACACAAAGAGGCTCAGGGATAGTGCCCAGGCCTGAGTTCAAGCCCCAGAACTGGCAGAAAAATAAATAAATAAAAATACATGAGCCACTGGGGCCTGTCAAAATTGGTAATTCTTGTACAGAACATATATGGGGAAATATATCTTGCAATTGATACTAAATATATGCATGGATATTTAGGAATATTTGATGTTAGGAAAAATTCAAGAATAAAATTAAATGAATATGAAAGAGTGGCTGGAAATGTAGCTTAGAGGTAGAGTGTTTGCCTAGTATGCATGAAGCCCTGGGTTCGATTTCTTAGTACCACATAAACAGAAAACGCCAAAAGTGGCACTGTGGCTCAAGTGGTAGAGTGCTAGCCTTGAACACAAAGAGGCTTAGGGACAGTGCCCAGGCCCTGAGTTCAAGCCTCAGGACTGGCAAAAAAAATTGAAGAGGAAGGAAGGAAGGAAGAAAAAAAGGAAGGAAGAAAAGAAGGAAGGAAGGGAAGGTGGGAGGGAGAGAGGGAGCAAGGAACCAAGGAAGGAAGGAAAAGAAAGAAAGGAGGAAAGAAAAGAGAGACACAAAGAAAAGAGACAAGGAAGGAAGGGGAAGAGAGAGAGAGGGAGAGAAAGAGGGAAAAGATAAATCTCATTATGGACAAAATGAACTGCAATGAAAAAATGCTTGAAGAGCCAGGCACCCATGGCTCACACCTATAATCCTAGCTACTCTGGAGAATGAGATCTGAGAATTGCAGTTGAAAGCCAGCCCAGGCAGGAAAGTAGAACACTAGCCTTGAGAAAGGAAAAAAAAAGTTCAGGGACAGCTCCTAGGCCCCAAGTTCAAGCCCCAGAACTGACAAAAAAAAAAAAAAAGATTGAAGAGGTCTTGCACTAATAATAAAAATACTAATAAAAATGTGTAATTCCATCCTGCCCTTCACACAATTGAGCTTTGTGCTTCAATGAAGGAAGCTCAGTGAGCACAGACTGCAGCAGGAGCCAGGCTGAACTTGGCTAGAAAACAGAACATCACTGGGAGGTTTTGTATTTGGGGAATGGCTGTGTCATGATGCTGTTGCCTCGGAATTTTTGCTGGACATCATTTTGGATTATTTTGTTTTTGTCAGTCATAGTGCTTGAACTCAGGACCTAAGTGTTGTCTCAGAGCTTTTGTGCTCAAGGCTAGTATTCTACCATTTTGAGCCCCAGTGCTGTTTCTGGTTTTCTGGTGGTTAATTGGAAATGAGTCTCACAGACTTTTTTGCCCAGGCTGGCTTCAAACCATGATCCTCAGATCTCAGTGTCCTGAGTAGTGAGGATTACAGATGTGAACCCCCAGTGCCCAGCTGGATAAATGTTGTTCTGGGAGGTGAGTTGAGCCCTATCATGGGGTCATCTTAGGCTACTGAGTATGTTGGAGGGGATGTGGGTGTATATTCATGTGTATGTGTGTTTGAGTGTGCACGCGCGCCATCCTCTGAGTACATGCATTGGACTATATGGGCCAGAATGTACTGGAGACTTGGAAAGTATCCACTTGGCAGTACCAAAGTTTGAACTCAAGATTCTGCACTTGCTCAGCTTGCTTGAATAGCTGTCCCTTTACCACTTGAGCCACACTTATGGCCCTGGCCCTGCTTTTTCTGTGTGTTGATCTTGGGGCTTGAACTCAGGGAATGGCCTTTTTTTTGGGGGGGGTCTGCTTTGGGACTTGAACTCTGAGCCTGGGTGCTGTCCCTGAGCTCTTCAGCTCAAGGAAAGCACTTTGCCCCTTGAGCCACAGTGCTACTTCCGGTTTTTTGAGTGTTTTATTGGAGATAAGAGTATCACATGGATTTTCCTGCCTGGACTGGCTTTGAACCTTGATCCTCAGATCTCAGCCTCCTGAGTAGCTAGGGTTACAGGTGTGAGCCGCAAGTGCCCAGCAAGGGCATGGACTTTATCCCTGGGCTTTTTGTACTTCTGGCTAGCTCGCAACTTGAGGTACATCTCCACTTCAGGCTATTTTCGGTCATTAATTGGAGATGAGTATCCTGGACTTTGCTGCCTGGGCTGGCTTCAAACCCAGATCCTTAGATCTCAGCTTCCTAAGTAGTGAGGATTTCAGGCATGAACCACCAATACCAAGTTGGTCCTGCTTTTTTTTTTTTTTTTTTTTTTTTGTCGGTCGTGGGGCCTGAACTCTGGGCCTGGGCACTGTCCCTCAGCTCTTCAGCTCAAGGCTAGCGCTCTACCACTTGAGCCACAGCACCACTTCTGGCTTTTTTTTTTTCTGGTGGTGCTGAGGAATGGAACCCAGGGCCTCATGCATGCAAGGCAAGCGCTCTACCACTGAGCCACCTTCCCAGCCCCTGTTTCCCAATTCTTTTTTTTTTTTTTTGGGTCCAGTCATGGGGCCTGAACTCTGGGCCTGGGCGCTGTTCCTCAGCTCTTCAGCTCAAGGCTAGCACTCTACCACTTGAGCCATAGCCACTTCCGGCTTTTGTCTTTTTGCTTATGTGGTGCTGGGGAATCAAACCCAGGGCCTGAGGCATGCAAGGCAAGCGCTCTACCACTGAGCCACCTTCCCAGCCCATGTTTCCCAATTCTTGATATGGACAATAGTAATATTTAAATTTTTATGTCTATTTTTTTTGGGGGGTCCGGTCATGGGGCTGAACTCTAGGCCTGGGCGCTGTCCCTCAGCTCTTCAGCTCAAGGCTAGCGCTCTACCACTTGAGCCAGAGCACCACTTCTGGTTTTTTTCTTTATGTGGTGCTGAGGAATCGAACCCAGGGCCTCTGGCATGCAAGGCAAGCGCTCTACCACTGAGCCACCTTCCCAGCCCATGTTTCCCAATTCTTGATATGGACAATAGTAATATTTAAAATTTTATGTCTAAATGCATTGTTTTTAACAATCTGATTTCTTATTTAATTACATTATGGTCAGAGAATGTGGTCTGTGTAGTATTGATTCATGTTTATTAAAGCATCTTTATGGCTTAGTAAGTGGCCAATTTTTTTAAATGTCTCATGTGTTTAAAAAGAATGTGTATTATTTATTTGTTGCATGGTTCTATATAAGGTCAAGAGATGTGGGGCTAGGAAGGTGGCTCAGTGGCAGAGTGCTTGCCTTGCATGCATAAGGCCCTGGGTTCGATTCCTCACTACCACATAAGCAGAAAAAGCTGGAAGTGGTGCTGTGGCTCAATTGGTAGAGTGCAAGCCTTGAGCTGAAGAGCTGAGGGACAGCACCCAGGCCCAGAGTTCAGGCCCCACGTCCAGCAAAAAAAAAAAAAAAAAAAAAAAAGTTCAAGAGATGTGTTATTAAAAATCTTCTGGCTGGGCATTGGTAGCTCATGCCTGTAATCCTAGCCACTCAGGAGGCTGAGATCTGAGAATTATGGTTCAAAGCCAGCGGGAGCAGTAAAATCTCCAAGACACTCTTCAATTAACCACTCAAAAACTGGAAGTGGAGGGCGTCGCCCGGAGCCAGGGAGCGCGGGCCCGAGCGAGGCGCGGGCTGTGGGGCTGCCGCCTGCCCCGGCCCCGCTGGCCCGTGCCCACGGCTGAGCCCGCCATGCCTGGCTTCAACTACAAGTTTCTGGAGAAGCCCAAACGGCGGGTGCTGTGCCCGCTATGCGGGAAGCCCATGCGCGAGCCCGTGCAGGTCTCCACCTGCGGCCACCGCTTCTGTGACACCTGCCTACAGGAGTTCCTCAGTGAAGGAGTCTTCAAATGCCCCGAGGACCAGCTTCCTCTGGACTATGGCAAGATCTACCCAGACCCAGAGCTGGAGGTCCAGGTGTTAGGTCTGTCTATCCGCCGCATCCACAGTGAATAGGGCTGCCGCTGGAGTGGGCCACTCCGTCATCTACAGGGCCACCTGAATACTTGCAATTTCAATGTAGTCCCCTGCCCCAATCGCTGCCCTTCTAAGCTGAGCCGCCGTGATCTGCCTGCACACTTGCAGCACGACTGCCCCAAGCGGCGCCTCAAATGCGAGTTCTGTGGCTGTGACTTCAGTGGGGAGGCCTATGAGAGCCCTGAGGGCATGTGCCCCCAAGAGAGCGTGTACTGTGATTACAAGTGTGGTGCCCGCATGATGCGGCATCTGCTGGCCCAGCAGGCCACCTCTGAGTGCCCCAAGCACACCCAGCCTTGTGCCTACTACAGCAAGGAGTTTGTCTTTGACACCCTTCAGAGTCATCAGTACCAGTGCCCACAGCTGCCTGTGTCCTGCCCCAACCAGTGTGGTGTGGGCACCATGGCTCGGGAGGACCTGGCAGGCCATTTGGAAGACAGCTGCAACACTGCCCATTCAAAGATTCTGGCTATAAACACAGGGTAAAAGTCCTCCTCCTTCCTGTCAGCTCCTCTTTAGCCCTTCAAGTCCTGGACAGGCTAGGTTTCCTGGCACAGTGAGGCTTTGGTGGGCTCTGCTGTGGAACCCTCATTTTTCCCTTGCTGGTCAGTTAGTTTCCACTTGTTTCTAGCACCCTGTCTTCCTCATGCAGTTAGATGTCTACTCTTCCTATCCATCTTCTCTCCCCTGGACCTTCCCCTTTTGGTAACTTCTCCATTCCCCCCATGGCCTGGGGCTTTACCAACAGTGCCCTAAGCTGGCAATGGCATGACACGTGGAGGAGAGTGTGAAGCCTCATCTGGCTATGATGTGTGCTCTGGTAAGCCGGCAGCGGCAGGAGCTGCAGGACCTTCGCAGAGAGCTGGAGGAGCTATCAGT